TCCTTATGAATATAGATACAAAACCCCTCAACAAAATACTAGAAAACTGAATCCGGCAATATATAAAAAGAATTATACTCCATGATCAAGTGGGATTTATCCAAAGAATGAAAAATTGGTTTAACATACAAAAATCAATCAATAAAACGCACTATTTTAATAGAACAAAGGGCAAAATCATGTGATCATTAAAATGGATGTTTAAAAAAATGACAAAATCCAAAATTCTTTCATGATCAAAATATTCAACTAGGAAAAGAAGGAAACTTCCTCAACCTGATAAAGGAAATCTTATTAAACACACACACACACACACACACACACACACACACACACACACACACTGCCAACATTATATTTGAAGGTAAAAGATGTACACTTTCCTACTAAAGTCAGGATAAAGATAAATATATTTGCTCTCACCACTTCTATTCAATATTTACTGGAAGTTCTAGAAATCAGGCAGTAAAGAAAGAAAAAGGCATCCAGATTGGAAAGGAAGAAGTAAAACTTTTTCTATTTGCAGATGGCATGTTCTTGTATATAGAAAGTTCTAAGAAATCTACTAACAAACTATTAGAACTAATGAATAAATTCAACATGGTTGCAGAATACTAGATCGACAGATGGCATGTTCTTGTATATAGAAAGTTCTAAGAAATCTACTAACAAACTATTAGAACTAATGAATAAATTCAACATGGTTGCAGAATACTAGATCGATATTTAAAATTGACCGTTTTTCTACACACTTGACAGAAACAATTTGAAAATAAAATTAAGAAAACAATTCCATCTACAATAGCATCAAAATGATTATTTATACATAAATTTAATAAAGAAATGGGAAATTTGTATACTGAAAATTACAAAACATTGCTGAAAGAAATTAAAATTACCTAAATAAATGGGAAAATATCTTATGTTCATGAATTAGAAGACCTAATATTAAGATGGCACTATTCCTCAAATTGATCTACAGATTCTTTACAATTCTTATCAAAATCCCAACTGCATTTTTTGCAGTAATTGACAAGGTGATCCTAAAATTCGTATGGAAAGGCGTGGGACACAAATTAACCAAAAGCATTGTTAAAGACAGAGAATAAAATTTTCCAATTTCAAAAATTACTACAAAACTATAGTAATCAAAACACTGTGTAATCGGAATAAGCATAGACATATAGATCAATGGGATAGAATTCAAAGTCCAGAGAGAAACTGTCATATCTATGTTTAGTTGATTTTAGACAGCGGTGCCAAAAGAATTTAACAGGGTAATATAATCTTTTCAATAAATGGTCCTGGGACAAATGGACATCACATGCAAAGAATAAAGGTGGTCTTACTTTACCCCATACACAAAAATAATTCAAAATGAATCACAGACCTAATGTAAGAGCTAATACTATAAAACTCTTAGAAGCAAACAGAAATCTTCATGATTTGGATTAGGTAATAGGTTCTTATATATGACAGCAAAAAGCACAAGTGACAAAAGAAAAATAGTCATATTGGACTTTTGTCACGTGTTTTTTTGATATTGGCAAACGATAACACCCAGTGTGAAGATGTGAAGAAAACATCGCATGGTGCCACACTAAGATGTAAGCTTTCTACTACAGCCCCAAAGTCAAGAATAATGCAGGATATCTAGTAGCTACCAAATAAATATTTGTTGAATAATGACTAGTGATAGAAATATAAATTGATATAAGTTTTTTTGGTGGCAATTCGGATATGTGTACTTATATTTAAAATGTAGATACTCTTTACCTCAAAAAGTGCAATTCTAAGTATCCAAAAGAAACAACAGAATAAGTTCTGAGAAATTAATGTGTAGATTTATTTACTGCAATTTAATTTATTCATTGAATAAATTCTTATTAATTGCCTGATGTGTGCTAAAATATATACTAATGATACAAATATAATGTTGAACTATATATCACACTGTTTTCCTCCTTCGAATAATATTATGATTGATGGCATATAGGAATTTAATTAGATTTAAAAATTTACATCTACTCTGGATTAAAATTTGTGTTAAATCAGTACTAGAAAGATATTTCCCAACATGGGTTTAAAATATTATATTGCTTCACAGAAAACCAGGAATAAAATAAGCCAAGAAAATAATTTATCACTTGTTGCAGACCTTGTTCTAGAAATTCTAAACAATTTAATATGATAAGAAATATTGGTAAAAATATAATTATTAAAATGGAAGTGACATATAATAATATTTATGGTCTATTAGAGTATTATTGAAAAATCTAAAATAAATTGAAGGATAATTACAGTAATTAAAGTTTAAAGTAAGAGAGATAGTTTTACTCCTCATCAATATCATTTATTTTCAATATATGAGTATAAAAATACACAAACCCAAACATTTACACTGCACAAAACAACATAGAAAAATTACTTTGAAATTTTGCTGAGGTGTATAAAATGCTTTAATAAAATAATAGCATATCTTATTTCTGAGTAAGTTCAATTTTATTAGAAATTGCTTTTCTCCAAATGTTTTATTAATTTAATGTAACATAAATGAAAATCCCCATAGAACTTTTAGCTATAAACTCAAGAAAATTATTCCAAAGTTTATTGGGAAAAAAAAACAAAAGAAATAGCTAAAAAAATCTTAAAAAAAAAAAAAAAGAAATAGAGGCTACTTATCCTACCAGGGAGT